TTTTTACAGTTTATAGATTTTTAAAAAATCTGTCATTTTGAAGCTTTTCTTACGACTTTCAGACTTTTTGGGACGTTTTATTGACAGTTTTTAAACTTTCTAAATATACAATTCTAAATATTTTTATGAGCAACGTTTTGCAGAATTTAATTTCATTTAAACTTTTCTGGAGCTTTGGGCTCATTTTTGTCAGATGTTTGTCAGAAATGTTCTGAACAGTTTTCTGATGTTTTATACTTCATCTGTGAACCTGTGAATCTGTATTTCAGACACGTTTGTCACATTTCTTTATGTGTCGCTGCTCGCTTAGTTTTAACCACATCAGCCTTCTCTAGTGTTGATTCGTTCAGTGTCTGTAGAACGTCTGAACCAGCGACTCTTCGTTTGTACTTTAATCTGTTTGATGGAAGATGCAGGTTTCACATGTTTGAAACTCTGAAGGATCAAAACCAGGTTCAGGAGAAGCTCAAAGCAGAAGGTCGCCTCTGAATCCTGCGCTCTGATTGGCTGTCTGTGGAGCTGTTGGATTAAAGGACCCTTCTGCTCTTTTAATTATTTCTATGTTTTTAAAAACAGACTTTTATTTTGAAGCTGCTGCAACTTCGTTTTTCACGTCAACACACACACGACCAGCAAGCAGCATGACACACAAAACAACACACAGCAGCACACAGAATAACACAACAACACAAATTTACACCTAATAATGAGCAACAGCACACACTGATTCAAACTAACACACACTAATACACACAAACACACACTAACACATGCAGCAACACAAACAGACACACACACACACAGATTCAACATCAAAGTTCAGGTCGTAGTGACACGTCCGACTGGAAACGAACATGTCTGGCCTTGTCCTGCTGTCACACACCCACACACACACACACACACACATCCTGCCTCGTGTTCTGTCATAACTGTGTTTCTCCTTCCTTTGTGCCATTCGTGTTGAACTGACCCATGAACTCTGTCCAGTTGTGTGTGTGTGTGTGTGTGTGTGTGTGTGTGTGTGTGTGTCTGTGTGTGTGTGTGTCTGTGTGTGTGTGGGTGTGTGACAGCAGGACAAGGCCAGACATGTTCGTTTCCAGTCGGACGTGTCACTACGACCTGAACTTTCATGTTCAATCTGCATGTGTGTGTCTGTTTGTGTTGCTGCATGTGTTAGTGTGTGTGTGTGTGTGTGTGTGTGTGTGTGTGTGTGTGTGTTCTAGTTTTCCTTCTCATGAAACACGATGAAAACAAGCTGCAGCAGAAACAGAGACGTCGTGTTGATGTAATGTTTTATTGAGTTGGTTAGAAGCCGTGACGGACGTCTGTCGTGGTTTTTGTGTTCGATTGTTTTCAGTCTGAATCGTCTGCATGCTGCTCGTGAAACAGACTGACAGCATTTAGCATCAAGGACCTTAGATTTATTTTGAGATTTTTGAGTCAAAAGGAGTGAAGTTTATGATTTTTGTGACGACTCGGCCTCGTGCGTGACATAAAACCACAAACAGCCTCTTTGTGAACTTTACGATAACGACGACACACAGAAATGAATTTAAAGCATCAAACTGTTGATATTTGCTTCACCTGCTGCTTCCTCCACCGATCTGCTGCAGCTCACTGTGATGTTCGCTGATTCACATTTTCCAGCCGACTGATCAAAGCTGACAGCTGGAGGAATTAAACTGTAACGCAGACACACACACACACACACACACAGACGGTTGTTAACAGTGTGAGTGACGCCTCAGACTGCAGCCTCCATAATACAGATCATACAGTTAATCTGGAGCTCACGTAACACACACACACACACACACACACACTCAGACTCTCAGTTTCCCTCGTATCGACCAAACCGTTACAGATCCTCTCACATTACCACAATAAACCCAGAGGACCACATAAAGGAGCCGAGCAGAACCAACGAGAAGAGAAAGCAAAGAGACGAGTAAAAAAAAAAAAGAAAACAGCGACTAATGACAGGAAACAACTGAAAATAGAAAATGGCAGCGAAAAAAAAAACCCGACAAAAAATGACAAAAAGCAACTAAAACCATCAGAAAATGACTAAAAATGGTGATTAAAAATAACACAAAATAGAAATGAAAGACACGGAGTAAAAATGAGTTGAAAACTGCAGCGATAAACAACTGAAAACGACCACAAACCCTGACTGAGAATGAAAGAAAACGACTGAAAAAGAGAGTGAATCTGAAGCAACAATGGTGAAACGGAAAACAACATAAAATGACAGATTACAGGAAAAAGCAGCTAAAAGCAGCTAAAAACAAAAGGGCTGAAAATGACTGTAAATGAGAGAAAACAACATCAAACAGTGACAGAGTGAGAAAGACATTCAGCAGCGACTGAAAACTGATTAACGGCGACAGAAAAGGAAAGAAAATGACAGAAAATAACAGCTTTGGTGGCGGCTGTGGCTCAGGTGGTCGAGCAGGTTGTCCTCTGATCGTAAGGTTGGCGGTTCGATCCCCTCCACAGTGGAAGTGTCCTCGGGCAAGACACAGAAGTTGCTCCCAACAGCAGGCAGCACCTCGCATGGCAGCTCTGTCACCGCTGGTGTATGAATGTGTGTGAATGAGGAACACACTGTAAAGCGCTGTGAGTACCACTAAGGGAGAAAGGTGATGTATAAGAGCAGAACATTCAACTGAAGGCACTGACTGAAAACAAGCATTTAGCAGGAACAGAAAACCACCAAAAACGACGGCTGGAAATGACAGAAAACAACAACTGAAAACAGAAAACAGCAGCTAAAGCGACGCACAGAAGGTGACTGGAAACAACAACAGCCACTAAAAAAATCAAAGAAGTGTGAAAATGACTGAAGTGAACAGAAAGCCAATGAAAACATTAGAAACATGATTTAAAAAAAAAAAAAAGCTACTGAAACCATCATAAAATGACTGAAAACGGTGATTAAAAGCAATGAGTGAAAAAGGAGCGAAAGTAGTGAAACTGAAAACAACATGAAATGACCGATTACAGGAAAAAGCAGCTAAAAAAGCTAAAAAGAAATGTTTGAAAATGACTGTAAAGGAGAGAAAACGACATCAGACAGCAGACAGTGAGTGGAAACAGTGGAAAAGACATTCAGCAGCGACTGAAGACGGTGATTAACGGCGACAGAAAAGGAAAGAAAACGACAGAAAACCGACGGCTGAAAATGTCAGAAATCAAGTCCGTGTCATGTAAAAACAAAAGAGCGACAGATTCTCCAAACTAAACGTGTTTAGTTACGTTACAGCCTGTTTAGATTTTTATCATTTATGATCTAAATGTTTGTAGAAGTCACGTCTAGCTGCTGACCGTTTCCTTCCTGATTGATGAATTTATCAGAACTCTGTGCAGAGTTTGTGTCCAACAGGAAGGCTGTCACACTGAGATGAATGTTCTAATCTTCTAATCAGCCTCTGAGGAGCTGGAAACACTCCGCTTGTGTTTGCATGTCGCCAGTAAACGCTTCACACCTTTAATTGAAGTGCAGCCGTCGTCGTCTCCATGGAAACCTGCCTCCAGACTCAGGAAGAGCTTCGTCTCGATGCTTCGTCTGCTCCAGCGAACGCAGCCAATCCTTTAAAACTTCAGGTGTTGAGTTCTTGGTGTGACTGAAAACAGCCTGAACTAAAACACGGCTCCTGAAAACATCGAATGACAAACAGAGATTAAAAAAGACAGAAACTAGTCGCTGAAAACGCCCGTAAACAGTCAGTGTTTTCCCATTAAGACACACAGACACACACTCCTGCAGACTGTTTAATGCTACAAGGTTTTCAGTTTTATCAGTTCAAGGCCGAGAGCAGCTCAGAAACACCAACTGCTCCACGTTAGCCGCTCCAGCTAACGGGGTGCTAAGAGACAAAAACATACAAATGCAGATTCTGTCCTTCAGCCACAACAACTGGTTTAAAGGTGTGTAACGTCTGCTGACAGCCACAGACACACAATCTGCTGTCACCGCTGACCGTCGTTTTCAGTCGACTCTTGCTGGTTGTTGTAAGAAGCCGTTTGCTGTTGTTTTCAGTTGCTTTCGTCGCCGTTTTCACTTCATGTTTTATGTTGTTTTTGTCACCTTTAGTCATTGCCAGTGGTTTATAGTCACCACTTGCCTCCGACTGTTGGTGTTTTGTCATCGTCTTTGGTTGAGACGTGCTGCTGTCTCTAGTCGTTGTTAGTTGCTGGTTTCGGTCTGCACGGTGGCTCAGTGGTCAGCACCGTCGCCGGTTGATGGATGGATGACAAAGGTGTAAAAGACTGAAAACAGTTTTTAAAACCAGTGAGTAAAAAAGACCAGATGGACTGAAAACGCTGAGCATGTGTGAGCTCCATCCAGCCCTGACTCAGGACATCGGGGATGATGACGGGAGTCTGGAGCTTTTCTGTCCCTGAACGAACTCAGACACATATTTTATTAATATATCAGGACTCTGTCTGCTGACGGTGAAAGAAGAAGTGGCTAACGGGAGTGAAAACATGAATAAATGTTGTTATTATTTAGGTTTGTAAGGTCTCATTGAATCAGGAGTCTGGTGAGTGTTTTCTGCGTCGCCCTGAATCAACCAGTGAGTTCAGAGGATTTTAAATTTCCACACGAGCCGAGCTTCACTGTGAGTCCTTCAGTCTGAGTGCAACTCGACCTGCAGGAGCTCGCATCAAATATTCAGCAGCTCCTTTCCTTTCTCCTGGACTCTTCAGGAAACACACAAACACCAGCAGCTCCTCACATGATCGCCGTTATCGTCCCATTACGCTCCATAAAACTGCAGTTACAGCCGATCAGACGGTTAAACAGGATCGAAACACGCAGTCAGAGAACGGCACCGAAAACTCCAGAGATTCATCACAATGAGAACCGTCGACCGTCTGCAGAACAGAAATACCTGCTGCTCGTTTCATGATGATGGAGCTGCAGGGAGAGGACGCTCATTACGCTTTTTCTGATTTATGCTCGTGTCACCACGTTAAATCAACATCAACACTGTGTCCTGGTTTTAATGTAAAACAGAAAAGCTGATCTTCAGCTGAGGGTTAGACGTGTTTGTTTCAGAGGAATCCACACTTTAGTTTATTGTGATCAAGTGTTTGTTCAGCTAGCAGCCCGACGGATATGTCATAGGTCGAACAGAAAAAGAAAATTACAGAGCAGCAACAACAATAAACACCGTCTGAAAACGACAAAACTGTGACAGTAAACACTGACTGAACACGAAAAAGGCTGAAAACGACTGCAAAGATCGGTCAGAGGAGTGATAACGGGGACAGAAAACAACAGATGAGTGACGGCTGTCTGGTCTGTGTTCACCTTAAAATCCTGAAGCCACACATCGTCTGATATACAGTCAACACAACGTCTCTGCAGGGGTTGTGTGTGTGTGTGTGTGTGTGTGTGTGTGTGTGTGTGTGTGTGACCCTGAACTACAGACTACCTCTCACACACACTCGTCCAAACGGAACACAAACTTTGACCACATTTCCATCCGCTGAATGTTGAGGAAATCAAATTAAATGCGACTTACGGAGGAGAAGGAAAGTCTCGGTTTAGTCATATTTCTGCTTCTCAACGCTCGTCTTCATGTGGTGCAACGAGCTGCACAGTGACTTCTCCACTGGGAAAGTTCATGGACTATGAAGGCACACAAAATGATCACAAAGACACGCACAATAACTATACAGGAACACAAAGAGACACAAAACAATTACAAAAATATGTGAAATGACTAGAAAGAGACACAAAGTCGTCATAAAAAGACACAAAATGTCCACAAAGAGATACACAACAACAATAAAGAAACACACAGTGGCCCTAAGAGGTGCACAACAACTATGAAGAGACACAAAATGAATATAAAAAGAGACACAAAACATCTATACATACATGAAATGACCACAACAATGCATCAAGCCAACAGAGACACAAATTGACCACAAAGAGAAAATAATCCTGCAACGATGTGTCATAGAATGACTTAAAATGACACACAATAACAACGACAATAAGACAAAACAGCCACAAAGAGACACGCAATGACAACAAAAATATGCAAAAAAAACTACAAAGAGACACATTGTGGCAACACAAAGTAACAAACTGACCACAAAGAGACACAAAACAAGCACAAAAAGAAACAAAACGACTACAAAAAGAAACAGCCAATGACAACAAAGAGACGAACAACTACAAGGAGACACAAAACGACTGTAAAAAGCCGTGAAGGCCCTGGATCTTGGTAATCACTGATCCTGACTACATCACAGCTCTACATGCATCCGTCCAGTAACATAATAAAAGTCTGGTTCTGGAGTCGAGGCCTTTGCTTCTTCTTCTCCTTCACTACAAACGCAGGCCTGTTGCTACGGCAGCGCTGTGATGTGTTGACCAGCCCGTGTGTGTGTCTGTGTGCAGCGGAGGCATCAGGAGGCCAACATGTGACGCGCCGCCTCCAGCATGTGACCGAGTGTGTGTCTGTGTGCGACTTCGTGTTTTTGGACGTGACCTCCGACCTCTTGTTCTCGTTCAGGGACACTCGCTCTTTGTTTTCCGGCTCCAAACGCTCGATTAGCAGAAAACTGTTGGTGTGGGATTCATCGGAGTCCAGCGTGTTCAGTTCCTCCAAAACTTTTCCAGGAGCTGTTTGTTAAAGTGGAACATTTGTGGGTCAGACGAGACCCGGCCGCTCTTTGTGTAATGATTGTAAAGCTGGCAGCAAATTGCTCTGTTCCTGTGTAGAAATCCTGTTTTATGAAACGTGTTGAAACCTTATCGCTGAATAAATCCTCTCTCCACATTCACTCCAGTTTCTTTTACAAAGTCTTGAAGAACTTAAAATTATTACAAAAAATTCACACATCGCAAAAAAAAACAATATTATTAATGTAATAACTTTTTGAACAGTTTACTGA